ATGCTAAATGTTTTAGATGTGGTAAGATAGGACACATTCAAGCAGTATGCAAAGCTACTGTTCATTTTGCCTCAAGTAGTACTAAAGCTTGTAATTTAAATCCCAATAATTCAGCTGATCCTAATGAGCATTTATCTTTAACTACCATTTCGAAAGGTAATGCTCATATTCAAAAGCGACTATATACATCGCTTGGTTCATTTCATGACTTTATTGTGGACACAGGCAGTATAGAGTCCATTATTTCATTCAATAATTTGAAATCGTTAGATCCGAACGTTGTGATACGACCCACTGATGTATCAATATTGGGGATTACTGGACACAAACTGCCTATACGAGGATGTTGTGAATTGATAATAAGAGATGATAATTCCTCATATATACGTTGTGAATTTTTAGTTAGTGAAACAGGACTGTCAATACTGGGTTTAAAGAATTTGAGAAGACTTAAAGTGGAGTTGTCTTTCCTAGTTTCTAAAGAAAATTCTGATGCTGTACTTAAAGATTCGAAAGCCACGTGTGCTAAGTGCAATGGAAGTATGAAAATGGTTCAGCACGGGAGTGCCAAGCAAATTAAACATGTTGACTACATTTCTCGACAGTCATTAAATGCAGATATTTGTCGTACAGCAAAGAATTGCGAAAAGTGTCATAAGCTGAAAAATCAGCATTCGAAGTGGATTGATTCTATTGCCGCCTCAACATTTAATGAGCTGGAGAGGGGAGTAGATACCTTTCTACTGCAATATAGAAATGCCAGACATTCGGTGACGAAAGAGACTCCATCAAAACTATTAAAAGGAAGAATTCTTCGGTCGAATATGAGATGTTTGGAGTCTGCAGAAGTTACATATTATCGTGGCAATGATCTTCGACCATCCACGGGGATCGTTCTGAAGAATGTCGGGAAATCTATGGTGCAACTTCTAGATATCAATGACTTAAGTACACACAATCGACATGTTGATCAAATACAATTCCAAGAGCCAGGTGAGTCTGTTCCAATTTCGGTTGTTAATTCTAATACTAATAGGAGCATTCTAGATAATACAGAGTCTTTATCCAATACACTGTCGGACAGACACAGGATGAATTTGAGAAGAAGACGTACAACTGATTACAGACATATACATTCCAATTTAAGCGGTGGCGGATATGGTGTTTGAATGAACTAGTAACTTCTTGTTGTTGTGAAATGCTTGATTTCGAATTCTAAATACAATACATTCGTTTGTGCATATCTTAATTCTTGATACATATACTTCTAAATACTACAATAACACATGCTTAAAGACGAATTCTTTCCTTTCTCTAACATATTTGTGTTCGAATTTCTGGCATCGATCTAAGGAATGATTGCTTGAGCAATCCAGAGAAGGTAAGGAGGCAGTGCCATCATTAGCGCTAGAATATGCTACTCTTGCTGTGTCGTAACTTGCACTAACTTTCCCCTCCAAAACGCCGAAGTCCCTTATTGTCGCAGTTGACAAGTAGGCCGTACCTAGTGGTAGGTATATCCGACTATTCTCGTACAAATTCACAGAGGTTCTTAAATAAAGGCTCCCTACCGGTCTTGAGAATTCGACATGATACTTTAACCATTTCCGTCTGTAGGTATGGTGAGATTTTTAAAAACATGCGTTCGATAGTTTTTGCAGATTAAAGGACAGATAGATTGTTCATTTAATAATAATAATAATAATTTATTCTCAAATAACAAACATGTTACAAGAGACATGCCAATTTACAGGCAAGATCAAAATGTTAAGATTAGCAGCATATTTCTTTTAAAACCGTATACAGTTACTGAAACATTTCACGAAATTCATTTGATTCCAAAAGATGGAATGTACAATACAAATAATTGGCGCAAGTTACGAAGGTTGCGTTACGACAATCATCTTATGGATCGAGAAACGATTCATGGTAGAGCCAGGTTTGCATATAACAAGAATTGATGCGGTAAATGTACAAAGGTCTGGTTGATGTTCGTCAGCTAATGATTTCACATGTTCTTGGGTAGGGTAACCAAGTCTACTGCAAATATAAAGACTAATATATGAGGGTTGAAATGAGGTTCTGAAAAAAGAGGAATAAAGAAAACGGGACGAGGAGCAGAACAGAAAATATTCATGTTCAAAGCCGAACAACCACTTAGCACGTACTTTTTTGGATAGAAACAAAGGTATGTTTACTCAGACTTTTTTTATATCAGAACACTAACTGTACACCTGCACTTATGTAGGTTAATGAAGACACTTCAGTAGTGAGATAACTAATGAGAAGTTAGTCGAAAGAATCGAGGAAATTCAGAAGAACCAAGTTGTCAGTAATAATGTTGATTTACATAATATAATAAAGAGGCTCAGTGATATAATTTTTTATTTTAGTTATTCTTTTTATTTTTAACTAATTGGGTTTATAAACAAGAACTTCTTCACAAGTGAGGCTAAGCTTACTCTCTTCAAAATGTGTATAAGGCCCACACTTGAATAATAATAATAATAATAATAATAATAATAATAATAATATTGTTCACTCATATTTTCAAACATGAATATCATGGACAAAATGCGAGTAGAAAATGTACAAAGAAGCTTCACCCGGCGACTGCTCGGATTGAGCCATAACCTCGACTACACAGAAAGATGCAAGCATCTATGGCGCTGTCGCCTGAAAAACAACCTAATGCTCCTCTATAAACTAATAAATGGTTTTTCGTTGGTAAAATACCGCCCAACTATGAACCACGACACTGCTTACAGACTTAGAAACAACGCATATACACTATTAACGGCAAAACAAAAAATTCTTGCGTTGTAATTTCTTTGTAATACGATACAGTCTACTGTGGAACAGGTTACCAATTACTATCCGTATTTGTGACACAATCACTAAGTTCAAGAAACTAGTCATGCTGTTGCTAGACTCTAAAGAGATATACCGACTATTCCCGGAACTCACACAAAGTCCCAAGGCACTCTTTTATGGTCCACCAAATATTTAGATAAACCTCTAAAACGAATTATAGACTATGAACATATTGTGTCCTCATTACCACCCATACATGTATCACGAAATGATAGGCAAACCCCCCTGCTCCTACTAACAGTAATAGGTTACGCCTTTGAAGTGTTACCCGTGACTTTTCTCTGAATTTAAATTCCGATTATTATTTTCATATCTTCAAAGCAGTTTTAGTTTTTATTTCTAGTAGACAGACAAATTGAAAAGCCTGTAGATGCTGATCAACTACTGTCAATTACAAGGAACTCAAACACCGTGTATCATTGTGAGTATTTCCTAATTTAAGTATTAACAGTTTAACAAATTTTTATTTCCCCAATTCATTAACATCCAAACACCTTGCCTGCTTACCAACTTATCGCTTTACTCATTAATTTTTAAAATTATTTCAACTCTTTTTTTTCACTTTCTCCTCGTTCCAGCTCCCTGTCCTTCCTATTTCCAAACTCTCTATTAATTGACTCATCTTACAAATTATACCATTCGTTTACTTAAAATCAGTGTGATATGCTACGTGGATATTTTATCTGGCAAAGTTGTCTGGATTGCTTGTAATATGGAGGTAGTAGAGAATGTTAATTCCGATAAGGTGTAGAAAAAAAAATTGAGAGTAGACTAGAGACCATTATTTACAGTCAACAATTAAACGTAAGAGAGCCCAACATCACAAAAGGAAGGAGGGTGGTGTAAATGAATTTCTACAGTGGCCGTCCCAATTGGTTCCAATAGAGGCACTCCTGTACGCTTCTCCCAGCTCCGGGTCCCAACCAATTCAAAAAGGACAAAATTCTAGGAGAAAACGTCTCTGTATTAGTTAAAAAATGGAAATACAAAGCATTACGGATATAGTGCTTCTTCCAGGGTAAAGTTACTCCGCAGAGTATCCGACACAATAACAAATAAGTGACGCTAAGTCCAGCGGCCAATGCGTCCGTCCAAAAATATGGCGGTAGCAATATTATATCAAATTTAAACAACATATGTACAGTTCAGAAGCAACACAAAAACTTCAATATAAGTACAAAATATAGAAAGAATAACAATATACTGTAGAATTCTTTTTGAATGTTTTGTTTTTTGGAAAATGCCTCCATGTTTACATATTTTTGCTATGATATGACGGACTTTTTCTGTTGACATTTTTGGTATTTTATTTGATTCCAATTTGAGATTTGTCATTGTATATTGTTATTCTTTCTATATTTTGTACTTATATTGAAGTTTTTGTGTTGCTTCTGAACTGTACATATGTTATTTAAATCTGATATAATATGGCTACCGCCACATTTTTGGACGGACACAGTGGCCGCTGGACTTAGCGTCACTTATTTGTTATTGTGTCGGATACTCTGCGGAGTAACTTAACCCTGGAAGAAACACAATTTCCGTAAGGCTTTGTATTTCCATTTTCTAACTAAATACAGAGACGTTTTCTCCTAGAATTTTGTCCTTTTTGAATTGGTCGGGACCCGGGACTAGGAAAAGCGTACAGGAGTGTTTCTATTGGAAACAATTGGGACGGCCACTGTCGAAATAAATTTACAGTCTGGAAATTCTTCTATCAAGGATTATACCCTGGAATTATCTATTACGATTACAGTTGGATTATTAAGAATTATAAAGAAACATTTGGAATTTTAATCGTTTATCCCACTAGACCTTCTTGGAGGAAGAAGTTGGATTATTTATCATATTCCGAAGCTGAACTGTGGAATTACTATAATTTGTATTTGTTACCTTTTCTTTTGAACTTCATTTATGATGTCAAACAGAAAAAAACACACATGAGGAGGGTGGAAGAGCTCGACGGATCACAGGGCTCTAGGCAAGTCGTTAATGATAACCTTTTTATGGGTAACCCACATGTTATGTCTGATATTTATTATTGTAAGTCATCGATAGAGGGTTTAGAACTACCTAAGGTTGAACTCTCATTTTTTGATGGAAGGTCTCGCGACTATTTTAGGTTCATGCGACAAATTGAAACGTTTATAGAACCTCGAATAAAAGACGATCAAGTGCGTTTATTGTATTTAATTCATTATTGTAAGGGAAAAGCAAAAAATGCGATTGAAGGCTGTATTATTATGGATCCACAAGCAGGATATAAGAGAGCTAAGGCCATTTTAAAACAGCTTTTTGGACAGTCGCATGTAATAGCTCGAGAAACTTTAGAGGATTTATTTAGAACTGGGAATGTACATTTCAATGATCCTGAATCATTGACGAACTTGGCTAATAAAATGCAGAATGCTGCTTTAACTTTAGAACAGCTAAATTGCACAACGGAACTTAATTCCATGGTTACTTTAGAACGAATAGTCAGGCTCTTACCTCGTCGAATGCAAGCCCAGTGGGCAGAGCTAGTAATCAAGTGGGACGAAGAGGAGAGAGAGCCTAATTTCAATGAATTGACGGAATTCATTATGTCTCGTGCTAAGATAGCTAGTAGTAGGTTTGGAAGATTAGCTTATCAGGCTAAAACAGGAAATAATACGGAAGCTACTAGTGGTCTGCGTGCGAGACATGAGGATTTTTCGTTTCTACCTAAAGCACGCTCGGAAGATAAAAGAGTTGTCAATTATATCACGAAAGCATACGCTGATGAAGGACGAGTATGTGACCGTAACGATGTAAAACCTCTTGATGCGTATCCTAGTAAGAAGCCGGTTGGTGTAACAGATAAGATGGCTTTTCTAAGTATGGAAAAGAAAGAAAAAGGTGAAAAGTGTAGGCATCAAGATGGATCCGAAGTGTGTGATGATAAAAGCCTCTTAGCTGCTCGAAAAGCCTGGAACGGTTATTTGGATTCGAGTAATCAGAGGTTAATGAGTTCAGCAAATATGAATAAGGCCCAGGCAGGATTGACTGAACGGAATAAAGCTTATTTTCGGAACCCTTCAGTTAGGGTAAATTATATAACTGGACCTAGAGTAGATTCTAGGATAAGTGATGGTGGTACAGTAACGGCTAAAAAGCCTAGGAGACATGATGCTACTATTACTAAGAAGCCTAAACCTCATGCTCTTTCGGATGCTACGACTAGCCATGGAAATAGTAGCCATCAGAACCTTAGTAGTGACAGTGATAATAAGGAGATAGAAGGTGTCAGCAGTCCACTTATAGTGACTAGTCTATCAACTTCATCGAATGAGCCTCCTAGTGTTTCGACGTCATCGGACCTCGTCACGAAGGCTAATTTGATTGAAGATGCACAAGGTTTTGCAACTGTAACTGTTCATATTCCGGTTGACTGTCAGTCGAGTGATGAAGAGAAGAAAGTGTTTGATGGTAACGGCCAGTCTACAGTGTTGTGTGATGACGATGCTATTGATGAGCATACGTCTTGTGTCTCTGAAACGGATGCTAATGCACACCGAATTGACGCGACTTGTCTGACAGAACGGAATCATTTAGACGTTGATAATAAACTGGATGTCACTGATGTGACAAATGAGTTACTGACGATGACGAATACTGATCAAACCTCCTCTGTATCGGGAGATGGATGGATAAATATTGATCCCACGTCATGCTACTTAAAGTCTTCTGGAGACGATGAAATGTCAAAATTGCAGATCCCACCCTTGCATATTATCTATGGGTCAAGAATTTCTGTTGATAAGTTAGCATCACGGACTTCATCGTATCTGCTGATCGGAGCAAGTGGTGGTGGATTGGCGACTCGTCCCCATGAAAGAGAATGTAGTCCTTGGATAGGATATGACCAGTTTTGCGACGTGTGGTTCATGTTCGTATGGGTTAATTGGGTAAGGTTTATACTACCGTTAGGTCATTCCACGATAGATAGGGGAATCAAGGGCCTGATGGGAAAGTATAGGTACCTAGTTAACACGATAGGTCATATCCATGTTGGATGGCGGGTAGGCGTACTGCTGCAAGTCCTACACGTTATTCCGGTGTGGATTAGGGGATAACTGGGAACCCTAAATAAAGTGTCATTAACGCTTGCTCTTTTTGCATGGAGGGATTTTGCGGGCCGGTGTAGAATCCTTTTTGAATGTTTTGTGTTTTGGAAAATGCCTCCATGTTTACATATTTTTGCTATGATATGACGGACTTTTTCTGTTGACATTTTTGGTATTTTATTTGATTCCAATTTGAGATTTGTCATTGTATATTGTTATTCTTTCTATATTTTGTACTTATATTGAAGTTTTTGTGTTGCTTCTGAACTGTACATATGTTATTTAAATCTGATATAATATGGCTACCGCCATATTTTTGGACGGACGCGGTGGCTGCTGGACTTAGTGTCACTTATTTGTTATTGTGTCGGATACTCTGCGGAGTAACTTAACCCTGGAAGAAACACAATTTCCGTAAGGCTTTGTATTTCCATTTTCTAACTAAATACAGAGACGTTTTCTCGTAGAATTTTGTCCTTTTTGACTTGGTCGGGACCCGGGACTAGGAAAAGCGTACAGGAGTGTTTCTATTGGAAACAATTGGGACGGCCACTGTCGAAATAAATTTACATATACAATGATAAAATCTCAAATTGGAATCAAATAAAATACCAAAAATGTCAACAGATAAAGTCCGTCATATCATAGCAAAAATATGTAAACATGGAGGCATTTTCCAAAACACAAAACATTCAAAAAGGATTCTACACCGGCCCGCAAAATCCCTCCATGCAAAAAGAGCAAGCGTTAATGACACTTTATTTAGGGTTCCCAGTTATCCCCTAATCCACACCGGAATAACGTGTAGGACTTGCAGCAGTACGCCTACCCGCCATCCAACATGGATATGACCTATCGTGTTAACTAGGTACCTATACTTTCCCATCAGGCCCTTGATTCCCCTATCTATCGTGGAATGACCTAACGGTAGTATAAACCTTACCCAATTAACCCATACGAACATGAACAACATGTCGTAAAACTGGTCATATCCTATCCAAGGACTACATTCTCTTTCATGGGGACGAGTCGCCAATCCACCACCACTTGCTCCGATCAGCAGATACGATGAAGTCCGTGATGCTAACTTATCAACAGAAATTCTTGACCCATAGATAATATGCAAGGGTGGGATCTGCAATTTTGACATTTCATCGTCTCCAGAAGACTTTAAGTAGCATGACGTGGGATCAATATTTATCCATCCATCTCCCGATACAGAGGAGGTTTGATCAGTATTCGTCATCGTCAGTAACTCATTTGTCACATCAGTGACATCCAGTTTATTATCAACGTCTAAATGATTCCGTTCTGTCAGACAAGTCGCGTCAATTCGGTGTGCATTAGCATCCGTTTCAGAGACACAAGACGTATGCTCATCAATAGCATCGTCATCACACAACACTGTAGACTGGCCGTTACCATCAAACACTTTCTTCTCTTCATCACTCGACTGACAGTCAACCGGAATATGAACAGTTACAGTTGCAAAACCTTGTGCATCTTCAATCAAATTAGCCTTCGTGACGAGGTCCGATGACGTCGAAACACTAGGAGGCTCATTCGATGAAGTTGATAGACTAGTCACTATAAGTGGACTGCTGACACCTTCTATCTCCTTATTATCACTGTCACTACTAAGGTTCTGATGGCTACTATTTCCATGGCTAGTCGTAGCATCCGAAAGAGCATGAGGTTTAGGCTTCTTAGTAATAGTAGCATCATGTCTCCTAGGCTTCTTAGCCGTTACTGTACCACCATCACTTATCCTAGAATCTACTCTAGGTCCAGTTATATAATTTACCCTAACTGAAGGGTTCCGAAAATAAGCTTTATTCCGTTCAGTCAATCCTGCCTGGGCCTTATTCATATTTGCTGAACTCATTAACCTCTGATTACTCGAATCCAAATAACCGTTCCAGGCTTTTCGAGCAGCTAAGAGGCTTTTATCATCACACACTTCGGATCCATCTTGATGCCTACACTTTTCACCTTTTTCTTTCTTTTCCATACTTAGAAAAGCCATCTTATCTGTTACACCAACCGGCTTCTTACTAGGATACGCATCAAGAGGTTTTACATCGTTACGGTCACATTCATGACGGTGGGGCGATAACCTCAATCTACCCATGTCTGTGTGGCAGAACATTTTGTTTGCTTACGGCTCCTTACGATATAGCAGGATGTAACAAATCAGTGATATTGATGTTACTTTTCCTAGTTAACCTCGTCTACAACCCATGTCTGTAACCTTGCACTGGTTTTTACTTCCTACCGAGAAATCCTATTACAAGCTGGTCTGGATAACTATACTAAAAAAGAGCTCATTCATAATTTCTTGAGCTGCAGAGTTAAAAATAAAAGAATATATAAAACAAAAAATTATATCACTGAGCCTCTTTATTATATTTTGTAAATCAACATTATTACTAACAACTTGGTTCTTCTGAATTCCCTCTATTCTTTCGACTAACTTCCCAATAGTTATCTCACCAATAATTTGTCTTCATTAACCTACATAAGTGCAGGTGTACAGTAATGATATTAAAAAAGTCTGAGTAAACATACCTTTGTTTTATCTATAAACGTATTTTCTGTTCCGCTCCTCGTCCCGTCTTCTTTATTCCTCTTTTTTCAGAACCTTATTCCACTCCTCATATATTAGTCTGGATATTTGCAGTAGACTTGGTTACCCTACCCAAGAACATGTAAAATCATTAGCTGATGAATATCAACCATACCTTTGTACATTTACCGCATCAATTCTTGTTATATGCAAACCTATCTCTACCATGAATCGTTTCTCAGTCCATAAGATGATTGTCGTAACGCAACCTTCGTAACTTGCGCCAATTATTCGTATTGAACATTCCATCTTTAATAACAATGAATCTTGTGAAATGTTTCAGTAAATGTATACCGTTTTAAAAGAAATATGTTGTTAATCTTAACATTTTGATCTTGCCTGTAAATTGGCATGTCTCTTGTAACATGTTTGTTATTTGAGAATAAATTATTATTATTATTATTATTATTATACTCGTCCTTCATCAGCGTATGCTTTCGTGATATAATTGACAACTCTTTTATCTTCCGAGCGTGCTTTAGGTAGAAACGAAAAATCCTCATGTCTCGCACGCAGACCACTAGTAGCTTCCGTATTATTTCCTGTTTTAGCCTGATAAGCTAATCTTCCAAACCTACTACTAGCTATCTTAGCACGAGACATAATGAATTCCGTCAATTCATTGAAATTAGGCTCTCTCTCCTCTTCGTCCCACTTGATTACTAGCTCTGCCCACTGGGCTTGCATTCGACGAGGTAAGAGCCTGACTATTCGTTCTAAAGTAACCATGGAATTAAGTTCCGTTGTGCAATTTAGCTGTTCTAAAGTTAAAGCAGCATTCTGCATTTTATTAGCCAAGTTCGTCAATGATTCAGGATCATTGAAATGTACATTCCCAGTTCTAAATAAATCCTGTAAGGTTTCTCGGGCTATTACATGCGACTGTCCAAAGAGCTGTTTTAAAATGGCCTTAGCTCTCTTATATCCTGCTTGTGGATCCATAATAATACAGCCTTCAATCGCATTTTTTGCTTTTCCCTTACAATAATGAATTAAATACAATAAACGCACTTGATCATCCTTTATTCGAGGTTCTATAAACGTTTCAATTTGTCGCATGAACCTAAAATAGTCGCGAGACCTTCCATCAAAAAATGAGAGTTCAACCTTAGGTAGTTCTAAACCCTCTATCGATGACTTACAATGATAAATAGCAGACATAACATGTGGGTTACCCATAAAAAAGTTATCATTAACGACTTGCCTAGAGCCCTGTGATCCGTCGAGCTCTTCCACCCTCCTCATGTGTGTTTTTTTCTGTTTGACATCATAAATGAAGTTCAAAAGAAAAGGTAACAAATACAAATTATAGTAATTCCACAGTTCAGCTTCGGAATATGATAAATAATCCAACTTCTTCCTCCAAGAAAGTCTAGTGGGATAAACGATTAAAATTCCAAATGTTTCTTTATAATTCTTAATAATCCAACTGTAATCGTAATAGAATTATATCCAGACTGTAAATTTATTTCTGCAGTGGCCGTCCCAATTGGTTCCAATAGAGGCACTCCTGTACGCTTCTCCCAGCTCCGGGTCCCAACCAATTCAAAAAGGACAAAATTCTAGGAGAAAACGTCTCTGTATTAGTTAAAAATGGAAATACAAAGCATTACGGATATAGTGCTTCTTCCAGGGTAAAGTTACTCCGCAGAGTATCCGACACAATAACAAATAAGTGACGCTAAGTCCAGCGGCCACTGTGTCCGTCCAAAAATGTGGCGGTAGCCATATTATATCAGATTTAAATAACATATGTACAGTTCAGAAGCAACACAAAAACTTCAATATAAGTACAAAATATAGAAAGAATAACAATATACAATGACAAATCTCAAATTGGAATCAAATAAAATACCAAAAATGTCAACAGAAAAAGTCCGTCATATCATAGCAAAAATATGTAAACATGGAGGGATTTTTGCAAAAAGCAAAACATTCAAAAAGTATTCTACAAGTGGTGTATCTGACCAGCATTCATGACGGTGGGGCGATAACCTCAATCTACCCATGTCTGTGTGGCAGAACATTTTGTTTGCTTACGGCTCCTTACGATATAGCAGGATGTAACAAATCAGTGATATTGATGTTACTTTTCCTTGTTAACCTCGTCTACAACTCTTGTCTGTAACTTTGCACTGGTTTTTACTTCCTACCGAGAAATCCTATTACAAGCTGGTCTGGACAACTATACTAGAAAAGAGCTCATTCACAACTTCTTGAGCCTCAGAGTTAAAAAGGAAAAGAGTTAGTAAAACCAAATATTATATCACTGACCCTCTTTATTATATTTTGTAAATCCACTTTATTACTAACAACTTGGTTCTTCTGAATTTCCTCGATTCTTTCGACTAACTTCTCATTAGTTATCTCATTACTGAAGTGTCTTCATTAACCTACATAAGCGCAGGTGTAAAGTGTTCTGTTATTAAAAATGTTTGGGTAAACATACCTTTGTTTTATCCATAAACGTATGTGCAAAGCCATTGTTCGGCTTTGAGCAAGAATATTTTCTGTTCTGCTCCTCGTCCCGTTTTCTTTATTCCTCTTTCTTCAGAACCTCATTCCAATCCTCATATATTAATCTTGGTTACCCTACCCAAGAACATGTGAAATCATTAGCTGACGAACATCAACCAGACCTATGTACATTTACCGCATCAATTCTTGTTATATGCAAACCTGGCTCTACCATGAATCGTTTCTCAGTCCATAAGATGATTGTCCTAACGCAACCTTCGTTACTTGAGCCAATTATTTGCATTGTACATTCCATCTTTTGGAATCAAATGAATCTCGTGAAATGTTTCAGTAACTGTATACCGTTTTAAAAGAAATATGCTGCTAATCTTAACATTTTGATCTTGCCTGTAAATTGGCATGTCTCTTGTAACATGTTTGTTATTTGAGAATAAATTATTATTATTATTATTAACTCTGCGGCTCAAGAAGTTATGAATGAACTCATTTTAGTATAATTGTCCAGACCAGCTTGTAATAGGATTTCTCGGTAGGAAGTAAAAACCAGTGCAAGGTTACAGACAAGAGTTGTAGACGAGGTTAACAAGGAAAAGTAACATCAGTATCATTGATTTGTTACATCCTGCTATATCGTAAGGAGCCGTAAGCAAACAAAATGTTCTGCCACACAGACATGGGTAGATTGAGGTTATCGCCCCACCGTCATGAATGCTGGTCAGATACACCACCCTCCCTCCTTTTGTGATGTTGGGCTCTCTTACGTTTAATGGTTGACTGTAAATAATGGTCTCTAGTCTACTCTCAATTTTTTTTTGTACACCTTATCGGAATTAACATTCTCTACTACCTCCATATTACAAGCAATCCAGACAACTTTGCCAGACAATATATCCACATAGCATGTAAATGAATTTTCTACTCCAACTGTTCACTCTGTTTCGAATAGGTGCAGTTTAGTACGCGCTCCCCCCGGATCCGATACCAAAACACAATAATTCTGGGAGAAAACGGTCCAAACAATATTACACCTATTTCCAATTTACCGCGGTGGGTATCCGTTTCTGGAAGAATAAGTGCCTCCAGTCCATACTGTTGAAATATCATATCCAAATATGGCTGTAGCCGTATTCAATATGAAATTTAAACAACATATGTACAGTTCAGAAGCAAACATAAAAACTTCAATATAAGTACTAGATATAGAAATAATATCAATGTACAATGATAAAATCTCAAAATGGAATCAAATAGAGTACCGAAATGTCAACAGAAAGAGTCAGTCATATCATAACACAAATATATATACATGGAGAAATTTTCCAAAAAACAAAACATTCAAAATAGATTCTAGATAGCATATCACACTGATTTTAAGTAAACGAATGGTATAATTTGTAAGATGAATCAATTAATAGAGAGTTTGGAAATAGGAAGGACAGGGAGCTGGAACGAGGAGAAAGTGAAAAAAAAGAGTTGAAATAATTTTAAAAATTAATGAGTAAAGCGATAAGTTGGTAAGCAGGCAAGGTGTTTGGATGTTAATGAATTGGGGAAATAAAAATTTGTTAAACTGTTAATACTTAAATTAGGAAATACTCACAATGATACACGGTGTTTGAGTTCCTTGTAATTGACAGTAGTTGATCAGCATCTACAGGCTTTTCAATTTGTCTGTCTACTAGAAATAAAAACTAAAACTGCTTTGAAGATATGAAAATAATAATCGGAATTTAAATTCAGAGAAAAGTCACGGGTAACACTTCAAAGGCGTAACCTATTACTGTTAGTAGGAGCAGGGGGGTTTGCCTATCATTTCGTGATACATGTATGGGTGGTAATCAGGACACAATATGTTCATAGTCTATAATTCGTTTTAGAGGTTTATCTAAATATTTGGTGGACCATAAAAGAGTGCCTTGGGACTTTGTGTGAGTTCCGGGAATAGTCGGTATATCTCTTTAGAGTCTAGCAACAGCATGACTAGTTTCTTGAACTTAGTGATTGTGTCACAAATACGGATAGTAATT